AAGAGAAGAGATTTTGTTGATCTTCGGTCGTCACGTTTTGTAGTCAGCTCAAGTGCTTGTGGACCGTCGCGCCGCGGTTCGTACACTTGAAGACTTTTTTCTGAACATATATAGTATTTCTGGGCCCCTACGGGCCCTGCGGTAAGGTGGCGTTGTCTTCCTTATTCTGGCGGAGGTGCTGCTTCAACAGCTGCCAAACGACGTAGGGCTTCCTTCCCTGCCTGTTTTGCCGCATTTCCAAGTAGGGCAGTCCAGGGGCACCCGGTCCCGCCGTGGAGGATGGTCTCGCACTTCTGGCATAGAGGGCGATTTCGCGAGGGACAGCTCCTCCGTCCCGGGCACCTTCTGCTACTCCAGTCTGCGTGAGCATGGAGTTCACTTTCTTGTCCGTGAGCTTGAGGTGCAGTCAGTCGCTTTCATATCCAACGCGGAGGGTGACATAAAGTTGGCATAGGGCTAGGAGCCGGGAATGGCAATTGGCCCGAATGATGCGCCACTTCTTCACATAGTATACGATGACCGTGGTGGTGGAGTTCCATCCTTGGCCGGAAGACAGCTGAATGAGATGATCAAGGAACGCTTTGTAATACTTGATCCCCTTTCGGTTGAGCGTGGCCACGTATCCCTCGCTGCTCCATGTGTCGGCGAGGCGCAGAGGGTAGTCGTTCCTGACGAGTATGGTGCGTTGTTGCTCCGAGAATGGACCGGCAAAGGTGTTGTTCCTCCCAACTTCTTCCACATCTCGCTTGAGTTACCGTAGGTCTTCGTGTTCTTGCAGGTGAGACTGAGATTCTGGAAGGCTGCTGTCCACTTGTAGGTCGGGGGGCACCTCCTATGTCGTCGACAGTTTGGTGACTGACGGCGGCGAAGAGTAGAATCTCTGATTTCGCTGTTACATCGTCGCGTTCATCGTGTCTGTGTCTTACCTGGTAGGGACAATACGTCTAGATGGTGTTGCCCCAATGTTTTGTGCCGTTCGCGGACTGATTCCTTCTTGGGCCAAACCTTTCGCGAGAACTGCCGTGCCCTCCTTGATGGGGATGTTTAGATCGCATCCTTGTCCTTGGTAACGGGTCCTTTCCGGCGAGAATGGTGGGTGGGCCGGCTGGTTTGCGTACCACTCGACTATTGGCGGGCTCATGGACTTCCCATCGCCGGATCTCGTCGGGGGCACGGGGCGTTGTCAGCTGTATGGGCGAGTTCGGCACTCACCCACTCCCAGGCTTCGGCAGCGGGCTGCGGGCACAGGCAAGAATCCTATCGCTGGCGAATGGCTGCATCTTGCGCTGTCGTTGACCACTCCGTATGCTCCATTGACCCCTTCACATACCCGTACCAAAAGCGGCCTGGTTGGACTGGATGGTAATCCAGGGGAGAAGCTGGGTGTCGGCGGAGCCGTACCGTCGCCTGTTCCCGGGTGCCTATCTCGGAGTCCTTCCTGGCGAGCCTTGGCGCCAGGTGCTTGTTCAACGCGTCCTCTGAACCTCTGCTTCCTGTTGTATTTGGCGCCTCAGCGGCCTTCGCTCTTTGTGCTCCGGCTGCCTCGTGTTCACGTAGGAGCTTCTGAACGGCCATCTCAGTGGCTCGTTCTTGCTCATAGTTTGCTCCGCGAGCCGCTTTTCTTCTTGGGCGACTTCCTCCTTAGCTCGTTCCTGGGCGGCCAGCTCCGAGATCTTTCGGGCTCTCTCTGCCTCGTTCAGGAGCCTTCGGGTGTTTTCTTGCGGGCAGCGATCTTCTGATGACCCGGGATGGGGGTGCTGAAAGATCCGCCGGTATCCCTCGAGAAGGTCCCGGCGAGGCCGGGGGCTTCTTCGCCTTCGAAGGAGATCGACCCTCCACGTCCCTTGGTGCTTCCACTCGAAAAGCTCGTTTGGCGTCAGGCGATCCCATGTTCACGGTTTTCCACCGTGATCCCGGGAGAGCGTTCGGCGGGTCCTTCATGAGCGCGCTTCGTCCTCAGTCGCTCTTTGCTTGAAGAAGGCCGTTTCGTGGGGGGACAAGGCGGTACTAGCGATTCGTCAAAGTATTTGTCATTGCGTCTAAGCACCCTTTCAAAGGAGTACCCCACCTGGTTGGACCGAGTAGCTCCTCGGTGACCGGCTCGGTTACACTCGATCCCACGGTCACTGAAACAAACATAGACGGTACTTTCATGACGAATCGGGCTCGACAAACATCTCCTTGCACACCAATCGGCCGGTGTGCAAAACCCCGCCATCTCCGACACCGGACCCTAAGGAAGTCACACGGTGTGACCCGCCGCTGGCGTCATCAAACTCTAGTCCATGCTTACTTTTCTTCAGAGTAAGGTTTGGCGGGGGAGGCGGTCACTGTCGGGCAGCAGATACTTTTTCAGGTTGCGGACGCTCACACTAATTACCCCAGTCAAAAAGGAAAATTGGTGTCGGGCGGCGCAACTCTGGTTCAGAAAAAGTGAACCTGATTTGTAGCCGCCCGATTAGTAGTCCTTCTAGCTAGTCATCAACACCACATAGCACACCACCTGTGCACCCGACACTTCGGTCCACCACCTCATCCTTGGATGAGTGGCTCTCCCGGATTCCTGTCCGTCAGTCTCCCTTATGGTCGGCTCCCTGTTAACTCATACTCTCCGTTCTGTAGAATCTCTTCATTCCCTGTCTGGGAAGGTGGGCGTGACCCCTTGGAAACGAACACAAACGTCTCTTTGGAGACGAAATTGGATTCGATTCCATTCCATTCCATTCCATTCATTCAGGGACAATGGACTGTGTTTTTATTCTTACTGCTGTGGTTGCCTCGGCAGTGGCACTCTTGGTGCTGTATGCTGTCGTTTCCTTGGTGATCATTCTGGTGTACCGCTCGGATGTGCCCACAGCCCTCACGCCTTTGCTTAGTACTACCGGTACTAAAAAGAGCCCCTTTGACGATGGATCTGTGGTGTGGATCACCGGTGCTGGATCCGGTCTCGGAGAACGCATCGCTTACATTTTGGCCCAAACATCGGACAATGTCAAGATCATCCTCTCTTCTCGGAAAGAGGAACACTTGGAGAAGGTGGCAGAAGAGTGTCGGCGTATTCACAAAAAGAGACTCGAAAACAGCTTCCAAAAAACAGTATCCTCTGATGAACTACATGTATTTCAAGTCAAAGTTCTGCCCTTGGACCTGAGCAATCTCGAATCCATTCCCGACAAGGTGAAACAAGCCAAAGAGCTGTTTGGTTCTTCTCAAACCAAAATTGACGTCCTCATCAACGCGGCAGGTGTCACTACCAGAACCTATTGCTCCGATTCCAGTTTCGAATTGGACCACTATGTGGCCAAGGTCAACTATTTGGGACCCGTCTGCTTGATCAAACAACTCTTTCCCAATCTACCTGGCACCATTATTCAACTTGGGTCCATTGCCAGCAAACTGGGCGCGCCCGTTCGATCCGCCTACAGTGGCAGTAAATTTGCCTTGCACGGATGGTTGGAAGCCTTGGGTGTCGAATCCGTGTTGCAAGGACGTGACATTTACATTTTGAACTGCGTTTTGGGGTCTATTGACACTGGACTAGGATCCAGGGCACTGATCAACGTACAATCTGGGAAAATCGAAACGCTGCAACAAGAAGATGATAATATTGCCGATGGACTCGACCCCGAAGTGGTGGCGGAACGCATCCTGGCCGTGGCACGCCAAAAGAAACGCTACGAAACTTGGATGGCCATCCCCAAGGAATTGTTCATTCTCTACTTTGCCACGTACATGCGTCATACGGCATTCTTGGTGTTGACCAAAACGCTGGCACGACAATATGCCGTGACCGAGGATGACAAGAAGAAAGAGGGATGAATGCATAGAGAGAAACAGCACAGCCACACACAAAATGGCAACACAACAAATAATAATCCACCGTAACATAATATATTTAACAATGGTGCATTTAGAGTACCGTAGTCTATGCTAGCTACAGAAACCACTCTACTAGACACGGAATCGACATTCCCAACGACAGCTATTGAAATTTCCCAGACTCTCACCCAATCACTCAGTCCACACCCCTGTGTTTTGTTCTTGCTGATTGCCCGCACATCATCGTTCAGCCGCACCAATACACCGATGTTACTACGGTAGTAATCAAGCCAGCACGCACCGCATATTGCTGCGTCCAAACTCAAGGGACGAAGTGGCGCCATGTTCGGGCCGGCAGTCATCGATAGCTGGGGTAGCCATAAGATACAATTCAACTTATGGTACAACCTGCATTCCATCAAAAAGGTGTGACCAACGAACCATGATAGTGGAACCTTTGGAGTATCGTTTATTGTCAACTAGTATACCGGTAGCTCTAGCTAGAGGGAGGCTTGAATATACTTTCGCATGTCAGCAAAGTCGCAAACTGATCAGATCCAGCTGTTCTTGCCATGACATTGCAGTCTTGCCACCAAGCGTTGTCGATCGAGTGGTGTGGCCGTACCGTACAAGGATACCAGTGACCGGTGAAGTACGGCACACGGTCGTTCAGCCCACGATCCACAAACAGTCTTAGAAGAGGTGCGGTGGTGGCGGCTGAAAATGCCCTTGCAGTACCGATACCCCGTGTGCTATCCGGCACGACTTCACGTGAAGACAGACCGAGGTTGTTGACTCTTGTACCTTTTCTTCATGTAACAGCTTGAGAAAAGCTGCTACTTTCTCATTGCAGTGGGTGTACCATTGACTTAGATTTTGGAAGCACTAGCTGGCTCCTGCGCCGCTGGTGTAATCTGGCGCTGCCTCTGGAATCCACCATCTCTTCGGTTCCCCCTTGTTCTCCTTGCTCGCTTTGTTTTGACTGCATGTGTTCAGTAGTTGCAGTAGTCCCTTCAACTGGAGTTGCCCCGTCATTTTCTTGGGCGCCTTGCTTCTACTGTGGTTATTAGTTGATGCTGGTTTTGGCTTGACCATTGAAGGTACCGTGCTTTACCATCGTCAGGCATCAATGGTTGCAGTATTTGCTGCTGGTGTTGCCCCCACGGGTGTCAGCTGGTACGTTGTTTGCTGTTGTCCTGTGGCTGTCATTTCAAAGGTTGGAATGACCGGAGTCGTCGCTGCTGGCAGGGCCAATAGCGGCATTACTTCAATCCGAATACAATGGACTCCATTATTATTCTTTCCTTCCCTCTTGTACTCTCGAGTAACACTGATGCCTTTGGTGGCATGCCATTGTTGACTATAGAAGCGTGCAATGTCATCCATTCCTCGTTTCAGAGCGGGTAGCCAATTGCACAACATGCCGGGAAGCATGATACAGTGTGTCCCCACTAAGGGAATAAACATGAGGACACCCAAAAAGGGATCTGGACCAATGCGATCGTCCAATTTTCGAATGGCCGCGATAAACGACTGCCATTCTTCCAGAGAGAGTCGAGTCGTCCACGAAGTTGCCATAGATGGCAGTGAGTCGAGACCGGCATCATTCGAAAAATTGTCCGATTGTCGTCCTCGAGAACGACCACTGCAACCTACAAAGCAGCGAGGTCGTAGACCTACCACCACTGTCCGTTCATTCTCTTGAATGTTGGTGGTAGAGTTGTATTGGCCCATGGCTGCGATGCGTGTTGCCGTTTGAGTGACAAGGGAGAGGGGGGGTGCTTGGCAGAGTTACCGTAAAAGGGTCTTTGGAAAAGGTCATTTCTTTACCGGTAGCCAGGGGGATTGGGATTTCTTTGAGAAAAGAACACCCGTGCAGTGTCGGTGTCATGGTGTGTCTTGGAAGCATTGACTTACTTCTAACGGCAACCGTACGTACTGTACCGGACTGAGGAGCAGTCCTCATACCCAGTTCCCACAAAGCCCAGGCACAGAACATGGCAAGTGGTACGGACGGAGGATCCTCGAGCTGTCTCCGTTCCCACTCGGAGGACAAGGGATTTGTGCTCCAACTGTTTCCTTTTCCAGTGCCTTCCTCTTGTCAGCAATCTCTTTCCCTCACAAAATCAACAAACTACAACTCAAAAACTATCATCAACAACAGCAACAACAACACCATGTCCGTGCAACCAACCACCAACAACAACACCAGCAATGTGTCCAACAAGATTTCTTTGGCAGCAGGATGCTACTGGGGAACTGAAAAATTCATTGTCCGCGATTTCCAAAAGAGACATCCCAATAGCATTCAGTCTGCCCAAGTTGGCTTCATGAATCCAACACCCATGAAGCGCAAGAGCCCCCCCACATACCGTGAAGTCTGCAGTGGTGTAACAGGATATGTCGAGGTCTTGGATGTGACACTGGCGGATCCCTCCTTGATGGAAGAACTGGTCCGCTTTTTCTTCATGTTCCATGATCCCACCACCAAAAACCAACAAGGGAATGATAGGGGAACCCAGTATGCATCTGCCATTTTCTGCTTGGATGATCAACAAAAGAGCATTGCCTTGGCAGTCAAAGCAGAGCTGCAACAGGCAGTATCCAGTGGAAGTGTCTCTTCCTATCATGGCAACACTGTTGAAACTGGCATTTTGATGTACACCGAGTTCCATCCTGCTCATGAAGCTCATCAACAATACCTAGCAAAGAATCCTTCTGGATACTGCAACCACTTCTTCCGCTTTCGTCAGTGGCCAAATGTTGCCCTGGTTGAATCTGTTTTTTCTGACCAAGATGATCACACTGTGGAGAAGAAACCATTGGAACAAAAGAAGAAGATGTGGAGTGTGAAGAAGCTGCTTCTTTCCCCCAGCAAGAAGGTCTTCAAAACTTCTACCCAAATCTTTTCCCCGTGTAACCTGTTGCTTCTCACCGAGGTGATGACACCATGGAGAAGGAACCATTGCAACCAAAGAAGAAAAGGTGGAGTGTGAAGAAGCTGCTTCTTTCCCCCATCAAGAAGGTCTTCAAAAACTAAGCTGATTGATGGATACATGTAGTATAATGTGACATAGCAAAACTTGCAAGAAACCTGGCCTTTTCCGTACACTTGATTGGCTATAGCTCATTGGATTTGGGTTTGCCAGGCGTTCCTCTCTTTCTCTGGCTCCCAACCAAAGAGTTGCATCACTGTTCCTCCTGGCCCGGGTGGTATTTTCGATCCCTTTGCATATTTCAGAATCCGACAAATGAGATCGCTCTCGAGCACTAGTAGTTTACATGTACAACCAACAGAAAAGGAAACCACGTGGTACATTCCCATGCCATCCGTCGCGAAGGAACTGAACAGCGTGGAACATTGAGCGCCCGTCTTCACTGTGTTCAGCAGCATAGTTGTTTACTGGTCGAAGTCGATGGCCCTGGGCAGTGGTCCAGTAGAATTGTGTTGCATCTCCGTCCGAACGACGACCCGGCTAAGATGAAGCCATGCCACCACGACAGTCGTTTCCGACACCCAACCAGAGGCAGTTGGCATGTCGCATGGGTTGTTGCTATCAGTCCGTGAAGGCAGGCGTATTACTTTCTTACTCTACTACGAGACACGTAAATTCTTGCTGCGACGCCGCCACCGGTATCCGCAATATCACGCAGGTGTTGGACACTCCACTTGCACGAACAGTTCGTTCATTACTGGCGACTAAGAACCTCCATCATAACCGTTCCAAGGTCCTTCTCTCGGACCTCCTCGTAGGAAAAGTGATCAGTGCCATCGCGTGCAGAAAAGAAGAAGACTGTGTTGTTTGGAGGTCCAAAGCCATGCTTGATCTTGACCCCAAAGAGCTTCCCATCAATTTCACCAAGCCCTCGCCAGCCAGAGTAGGAAAAGGAGTGATCTAGCTGTTGCAGCTTGGGAGGGAGTGCCTGCACAGTCTTGTAACTGACCCAATCCTGTGCAGGCATGGTTTGAAACGATGCCTTTCCGTCTTTGCCTTGGACATACCTAGTCAAAGGTTGTTGCTCCTTGGCAAAGATGCGACCACAGAGCCGACCAGACTTGGTGCAGAGACGCGCCCCACCACTGCAGCGATCTTGTAACTCAATGACCTCCGACGGTATGGAATCAAATCCCGGACGTTTTTGTGTTGCGACATTTTCCTTCTCCAAGAGCCCCCGTTCTTCCAAGACATCCAACGCCATTGTCAAGCCAGGACGAGGACGCAGGGCCCAACCCATACAGGCTTCCAAAGCTCCTTCTTTGTTACAACGGATTCCAGCAAGACCAGCAATAAACTCCTTTGAAGAGACTGAGCCACTGACCGTGTTTTCAAGGCGAAATGGAACCATTGAAACTCCCTTGGGCAGAGCCTCGGGAGCGATGCCATTCGACTCTTTACTAGAGTCTAGGAGAGGGTTGCGTCGGTTGGGTTCTTTGGTTACATAGTCCAACACATAAGGCACAAACTGGCAAAGCCATCCATCCACCAGATCAGTGCCATAGGTGTGACCATGTTTGATGATTGCCGACCAATGCGCCAAGTCCACGTGGCCCTCACTGGCCTCCACAAACTTGCGACAAAGCGGTTTCAAAGACGCCGTCCACCAATCCATTTCGAATTGGTCCAGCATCGCCAAGCGGCTCTCGAGGTCACGCCAGTCTTCCGGCGTCCCCGTCAACTCAATAGAAGGGATACCACAAACGCACATGACCACAAAATTGTGATATGGCTTCATGATATCCATAAACGCCACCTGAAAGGCAGCCCGTTCGAGAGGACCAGTAGTAGAAAACTGGGGTTGCGCCCACTCTGCCATCTTGTCTCCTTTTTGATGCTGTGACAACTGCGTGCAAAATGCCTCAAAGATTTCCGGCCAGACAGGGTTGCTGCCCGTGACCACACAAAGGTCTCTCTTTCCCTTGTGATCCACCAGTTTGTCACGAAACTTGTCGGGATCCAGGTGGACATGGTGCGCCAGTCCTTGCACAATTGTCAAAAAGACGGCATCCGGGCTGATCACCAACGGACGATGGTTCGCCCATGCCCGGAGGGCTGACATGATCAAGGGCTGAGATTCGGTTCCCGAAAGTAGCTTTTGCTGTTCAGCATCATCATCATCGTCGAAGTTGGACGCTTCCAGCGGAGTTCCCAGCAAATTGGAAAAGGCTTCTTTGGCTGGTACTTCTCGAAGAACCGCGTCCGTCGGCTTGACATTATGAAGCGTAAAACGCAGACCACGAGGAGTTTTCTCGATTGTCGTCTTTGCGACGGTCATGGGGGGTGCTGGAAAGTCTGGTCTCATGGTGTAGTGGTGGTGCGTTCAGTAAGCAACAGTATCTTGGTGTCTTTTTGCGTGCTAATAAAGGTATGCCACCGAGGAGGTGCATGCATGGTTCGCTATGAGACGTGTATTTAGTTGCCAGTCAGTCGTGAATACCTCCACGATGTGCCTTCTTCCACGACAACACTCCACTCTTGAAACGCTCAATTCCCACGGGATCCTTTGGCGTGCCTGCTCTTCTTTTTAAATTTCAAACTCCATCCGCCAATCAGATTCAAATGAAATGTCATGCCCGCGCTCTGTTGGCGGCATCGAGAAAGGAAGGCAGCAGCAGATTTCTTCGATGCTTTGTTGTTCTCACAAACCAAAGCATCCAAGCTTTGCCATCACCATACTTTCCATTTCAACCTTTTTGATTTATTTGACACCATGGCTCGGTAAGAACAACACTCGATATGTATGCATGAGCGCTATGGAATGGATGACACAAATGTAGTACACTAACACGGTCGCGGCTTTCTCTGTCCATGATGTAGCACCAAGCAAACCGGTGAGTGTGTTCTCGAGGTGTCGAGTCGACCGTGGAGTGATTGATGGATGCTTGGATGCGCGTTTTCTTTGATCGAATGCTCACACCTTTTCTGTTTCGACGCTCACTACAACAGCCCGCAAGTCGACCGGAGGAAAAGCTCCCCGTAAGCAGTTGGCCACCAAGGCTGCTCGTAAGAGTGCTCCTGCTACTGGAGGAGTCAAGAAGCCCCACCGATACCGCCCTGGAACTGTCGCCCTTCGTGAGATTCGTCGCTACCAGAAGAGTACTGATCTTCTCATTCGCAAACTTCCATTCCAGCGTCTGGTCCGTGAGATTGCTCAGGATTTCAAGTCGGATCTTCGTTTCCAAGGATCTGCCGTCCTCGCCCTTCAAGAAGCCGCGGAAGCCTACTTGGTGGGTCTCTTTGAAGATACCAATCTTTGCGCTATCCACGCCAAGCGTGTCACTATCATGCCCAAGGACATTCAGTTGGCCCGTCGCATCCGTAAGTACTCGTACTCGACTTTTTTGCTTTTCGCATGGAGGAATACCCAACACAATGATAACGATTCCGTCTCACCATGGTTACTCTTTTTATTTTGCACAGGCGGAGAGCGCTCTTAAATCGGCGATTGATGGAGTGTAGACTCCACGGTGACGCCGACAACAACAAATAACCGGATATTTTTATATCCACCCAATCAACAAAGCCCATGATGATGTTCCGTACGGGTTGGTATCGAATCGAATCGTTCTTTTTCGTAGTCTATTTATTTCATGTGGTGAGAGAACCTGGGGAGACGGCTTGGTTGGAGTGGTGTGGGTCCGATGGAACAATAACAATTTCACTTTTGCGTATTCTAAAACAAACCATTATAACACTGAACCATTCTGAGAATCGAATCGAATTATCCCTTTTGATCTAGTCTACTAGCTAGTACCGTTGTAGCTGGCTACAGTACAGGTCATCTATTTGATCTCGTATTCCCGTCATCAATTCCAGCATTGCATCGTCTGGTGTTGCCGCTGAGAAACACCCCTGCGTTTTCGTTCCGCTATCTTCTTGCCGAGTCGAGTCGAGTCCACCATGAACTTGGGTCCGAACACCTACCAGGACGAAGAGAGTTTGCGCAACTATGAACCGGAATACGGTAGGTAGAGCACGTACGAGTACGATGTCAACACAAAACAAAATTCTGGTCGTATCGTCTCACCTGCCTCCAAGCATTTATTTATTTTAAAAAAATCTGTGTTTTGCTTGCTGTGATCGAGTCGAGTCAAGTCCATCATGCATTCGGGTCCACCATACATTGCCAAACAGCAAAGAAACAACGAGACGAAGAGAGCCGTATTCCTACCGGTACTGTACAAGGGGCAACTTCACGCACCGGCTTCTCTTGGGGTTCATGTAGTAGACTACGTACGGTACGTGGTCAGGATACGATGGTGACTCGAGTCCACTCTACTCGACTCGACTCCATGCATTTAATTTTGTCCTATGCCACTGCCAGTACCGGTAGACTGGGATGGGAGAAACTGACTCTGTTTTCAAAATGACAGTGGCCAGGCAGGTGCATGCAAGCCATTATTGAAGAGAAGAACTACTACTGTATGTAGGGCGGACGACTAGCTACCGTAGGGTAGTTTCACGAGGACGCACACGTTGAGCTCCAAGCAATTCGCGTACGCCGGTAGGGAGCAAGATCGTTTGGCTGGATCGCTCAGTTTGATACACTGGATCTCTTTGTATCATTATTACCTAGTTAGTCTAGTAGCAAATGATGCGCTGGTTGGCCAGGCCACATCAGCCCGTGGAAACCATCAGCCCGTGGAAACAATGACTTGACCCTTGGTGATGTCGTCCAAGCCTGCCTCAAGTGAAGAAGCAAACAATTCAAGAACGCCTTGAGGATTTTTCCAGCTTCTCTCAAGACTCTGCCTTGCCTCTAGCCAGGCTTCGTAACTAGCTTCGTAGCTGGACAGGGAAGACGATTGAGAAAGCCGTACCTGGTACTCTATGGGAACGGCCCGACCAGTACAAAGTATGGTTCCAACACTGCGGATAAAAGGTTCTTTGCGCCCAGAAGACTGAATAGCATGCTTCACAGGCTTATTTCTACCGGTATCGTGTCGAGTCCCGAGTGTTGCCTCCAACGGTTCCAGATAACAAGCGGCAACAGCAAAGTCACAGCCACTCGATCGCTGACAGACAAGTCGTATCTAGCTACCCCTAAAAGTCAACTTTTGCAATCTGCTCCTACGGTACCTCCCATCATTCCAATAGTTACTCCACTCCACTCTACCCTCTTAATTGAAGCTACTATACATATATAGATAGTATTTTAATACTATGAAGAGTGTATCTCGACAACGCAAAAAGGCAAAAGCGAAGAAACGCAAGCGGTCGTGGCGGGACTTTTATCAAGACTTGTCGGAATATCAAAAGACGCACGGTCACTGTCGAATTTCGTTGTCGGAAAATGAAACACTCGCCGGTTGGTTTCATCGACAACGGCGAAGATTTCGCGAGAATGGCTTATCGGCGGAACGCGTCAAACTCATGAATCGATTGGATTTGGATTGGGCGGAAGTGGATAGTGACGAGGAAGAAGAAGAAGAGGATGATGATGATGATGTCATGATGGATAGCAGTAGCAGTGAAGAAGAGGAAGAATCAGAGCAAGAGGAAGAAGAGAGTGACGAAGAAGAGGAAGAAAAGGATCCCAAGAAGATCAATGGGGAATCCCCTTCTTCTATGACTTTTACTCCCTTTGTTCCTGCCAAGAGACCCTCCCTATGGGCTACCATGCAAAACCAAACTCAAAGCCAAAACAAGAACAAGATCATCAAATTGGAACAGCCATCCACCAATACCAATACCACTCCCACTCAAAAGGAATCAGGGACAACCCCAAGTACCCCCACATCAGTCAAGACGGAAGATACCCAGGCACAGGAGTCAACCGGTACTTCACCACCTACGGATGAGGCCACATTATCCAAATCAACAACAACAACAACAACCAATAATAGTAAGAATGACAGTCATCATCCACTGAACAAGACATCACAAGCCAAACAAGAGCCACAAGCGGTACCCAACGGGGCAAAACCATCGCCGGTCATGGCACAAAGAATGACGGCACATTCCAGTCCTTCCGCCGTTGCCATTCTCCCCGCACCCAAACGAATTGTATCCCAATCCACTACAGCGTCCACTTCCACCACCACGTCATCTAGTAGCAATAATGAGGAAACATCCAACCCGCAAAAGAGTAGTAATGGCAACCACAACAACAACGGCAAAGATGACGACAATCACAACCAGAACAACAACAACACACCGAACAGAATTGTCGTGTCGTCCAACACTAGCGCCCGAGACGTTCTCTACCCACTCGCGAACCAATTATGTCAGCTCCTAGCGCAAGAACAGCAACTCCGACGACATGTACTACTAGAACGCCAACAGCAACCTCCGAACAACAATGGGACGTCAATAATTGGCAACAACAACAACGCCTCTACTACTCAGATGATTCAAATTGTCGATGGCTATGAACGGCAAATCCAAGACATGATTCGTCAAGTGGAGGGTCAACCACAACAACAACCACAACAAGGCCAGCAATCGCAGTCACCATCGCCACAGGAAGAACCGCCACAACAAAGTGCCGGGGACCACGCACGGGGAACCAAACCAAAAAAAGGTGGGAACACTGTGGTAATGGGCACATAACGTTTGTTTTTGTTTTGGAGGGAGGGGGTGTTGGTGGGTGCGCATACATACATACATCATACCGTACCGCATCACCAGAGGTTTTTTGCGGGATACGGTAGCTGCAGTCATTCTGGAAAGCAGTGTCTCCTCGAGCGACCAGCTTGGTTGTGAATAATAGCAAGTCACATAATATTATCCGCAATAATAGCTAGCTAGCTAGTAGGCACATTTATTTCATGAGCAGATGCTGTCTTTGAAATCATCTCGTATTCTCTTCCAATCGAGTTCGCCTGCATCCCAACGACCATCTCATACGTCTATCTAGTTTCCAAAGCAGGCATGCAGTTGAATTCCACCCACGCGATTCGTATCTACAACCGTGGTTGTTGCACGGTTCAATACCCCACTGCGTGTCTGCGTGCTGTTCCCCACAAGATCGAGTGCTTGCTTCGAGCTTGGCAGCCAGGCACGTCCGACGTCAACATTATTTCATGGAAGGAAATCCTTGCAAGCGCAGCAGGGAACATGTGCACCTGCCTCCAACGGACAAATGCTAACTACCTAGAGGTCCAAGGAATTCAAACCCTACCGGTATACGTGTACTATCGGGATGAATCACAGCGTGGAAAGTGCAGCGAAAGCCACTTTCATCGTGTCGAAAAAAGAGGGTGTAGGGGCCACAAAATTTATTAATCAGCAACCTCATACTCCACGCAAGAACAAAGTCAAAGTAAGCCAACAAGTCCACCAGCATGTCCTCCACCAACAAAAGTAGTCAAATGGATGGTCATGGAACATAAGGAGATATGGATACAACAGATTCTGCCCTTTGTTGGCATGGGTCATTATGCCTTCGTGGGAGGAGGAGTCAACAAACAACTGAACCAACTGTACAAGGAATACGGGAAGACTGTGGAGAACCCACCAAACGTGAAGAATCACATATATTTGAAGAAAGGTCATAGCTTTTACATAGTTCGCTCAGCAGCCATCACAGATACTTTCCACAGCAACACATTTCATACTGTGCCTTCTGCTGAACACTGGCTCAGAGATGGCTCCAGAAACAAGGCTCCTGCACATAATGATGTCTGCACAGCTATTGCTAGAGTTGGAAGTATGCCTGTCCTTCAATGGGCTAGAGAGAAAGGATATGCATGGGATGTACGCACTTGCAGAGTTGCAGTTGAAAAGGGTCAGTCTGACATGTTAAAGTGGTTGCATGAGAATGGATGTCCCTGGGATTCATGGACATGTGCAAATGCTGCTCTCCGTGGGCATTTGGAAATTCTGAAGTGGGCCCGAGAGAATGGGTGTCCATGGGATGCACAGACATGTGAAAATGCTGCTCTATATGGGCATTTGGAAATTCTGCAGTGGGCCCATGCAAACGGATGCCCTTGGGATGAATTTACATGCGCAGCTGCAGCTGCAGGAGGACATTTGGAATTGCTGAAATGGGCTCGTGCGCAGGGTTGCCCATGGGATATGTTGGCATGTTCAAGAGCCGTCAAAAATGGTCATTTGGAGCTTCTCCAGTGGGCTCGTGAGAATTGGCTGCCCAGAAGAGGGATCAGAGGACAACTAGAGTAGTGATTCTGAGGAAGAAGAAGATTGAGATTGAGACGGAGCCAGCCATGTGGAGTTGAGGGGGGCTTGAAAAACTCTGCGAGAAGCTGTCTAGGCAGCGGCCATTTTCTTGAGCATAGAAGATCTTCGCTTCGTTTTTATTGAATTGATTGTCATTTTTGCCATGCTATCCCCATGGTTTGCTTACAGTAATAATAAACCGGAGCGAAATTGAAAGCTGCGCACTCCCTGCGGCGGAATGACATGCACAGCTGTCTTCATGTATCCTCATCCTCTCCAAACTAGCAGACTGAATACGGTCACTTGCGCCAACACCCCAAAGACTAGCAAGGACTTGGCCGCCGGGTACGAAGACCCAAGTCGATCGTACGCCGTTCGGATTGTGGATGGACAACGCTCCGTACTAGAGAGATACAACCAGGCAGGGAAGACAAAGGCAATGGCCAAGCCGAAAATGCCATTGTAATCCAAAATTGTGCCCAACTCCCGAACGTAAAGACCGCCAATGAGGGGTGGAACCGCAGCCACGATTCGAAAGGCACTGATGATCCATCGGTTTTGCTGCAGTGGGTCGACCGGTCGAGCGGACATGTGAGTCAAATAAAAACTAACCAATCGAGCCCAAGATGGCGGTGTAGCATTCCTATTGGATGATGAGTACCGTAGCTCACCTGTAGTGGATTGGTTCGGTCTTTGTACCAAACGGCCATCAAACTGTTTCCAAGCACTAGAGCATGCAACGGACTGTGACGGAAAGGAAGAGAATGAGCACCCTGTAGCAAGCTCGGGAAGATGCGACGTCGATGGTCGACACAGCAGCACCATACTTACAAGACACTGATTACATTGATGGCAGGGAACATGGTGACAAAAACGAAATGGCCCGTGCCCACCAAGCCACATCGATCCAAATCGTGACACCATCGTCCCTTATAATCGGTCGTCCCGTTCCACCGTGGTAATGAGCCCAGTTCACATTGCTCGATTGTCGAATATTATTAGCACCACCAAAATACAATGCATCCGTCACCCCAATGGAGGCATACACGACAAAGACCAGCACCATGGTCCAGGCAAAGATATGACTGAGTTGGTCCTGGTTTTGTCGACCCAGATCGGTGGCCAATGCTGGAATAGAAAAATGAAAAATGGCAGCACACACCACAATGGGTAGCATGCGATGAATTCCTCTCCAATCCACCAATAAAGGTAGTGATGACTGATTGGAGTCCTCGTCCATACTCATGTCCCCAAAGTGGGATGTCCCGGTGATTGCTGCCCAGAGTGGAGTGGCCACCATGAGTATCATGAGTAGCATTCGACTGGCCGTCAAGAGGACTTGCAATAGCTTTTGTTCGGTGAGTTGCAAGCAGCTTAGTGGCAAGACCAGAACTGTCAGTCCGAGAATGGCCCCTTGGTAGTAGTGGTCTAGGTCGAGAGCCGAGTTGCTGTTGCTGTCAAAATAATACTCGGCCACGGCATTGCCAAACACAGCCGTGAACATCCACAAACTGCCATATAAATACAAGTGAACCGAAATCATGTAGGCTGTGTATCCGATCCGACCGAGAAAGAGTTGGCAAACCTCGGGAAGGTCCAAGGGGCACCTGCCACTGCCAATGACCAGTATTCGTTCACTGCTATTGATGGTGGTGGTGGTGTCTAGTATGGATCCGTAGTCCTTGCTAGCAGTTGTAACCAGTGCTTCCTGATCTTCTTCCCTTTGTTCTTGGTCTTGACGACCCAGCAGCCATTCGGCTCGTGCCATGGCGGACAAGACATAATCACTGGCGACATTTTCGGCACAGCACACTGCTGCGAGACATATCAGAGAGAATAACCATCCGGCTTGGGAAAACGCCCAAGGCAGGGCCAGAAACCCCGTGCCAATAATGTAGTTGGCCGCAAAGCAGGCACAAATCAAGGGCGAGAAAGCAGCCGGATTGTGTTTGTCGTTGTCATTCTTATTTCGTTTCGATATTAATTTAAAGTTTCTAAAAAGAAGTGTTTACCGAGCGGATTTGGGGCCGGAGACAGTCCCATGATGATCAGATGGCTGCATCAATTAATTGATGGCTTCCCTACTCTAATCCCCCCCTATCTAATTAATTGATGGCTTGGTGCCAAGTGTTGTCTTTGGCTCGCATTTTCGTTCTCGATCTTGGAAAAAATGAAGTTGCGAGAGAAAATAAATGAGAAATGCCTCCGACGCACTGATGTCAGTGTTAGTCACGAATCCTCACAGAAGATGGATATGGTAAGGTAGATGCGGTAAAACGGGTTTACAATAAATGTTTCAGAGTCAGAGATAGCTTTAACCCCAATATTACCACAACTACGTTTTGGAGTCCGCCTTTTTCGACGTCACAGTCGTGAGCACACAGAGAAGAAGCCCACGCCTACGAGACGCACTACCAGCAAGTTTTCGCGGCAGCAGATAGACGTCTTGATGAATCCTTGAAGGCAGTAATCGCCAGTGTCATGGTCTAGAATCACGAAGGTTATCAAGGCAACAAGTCCACAACAAAGGCACCTCGGCCTCTGGAGTTCATTACTGTACCACAAATAGTCCGTTCTAACCAAACCGCTCTCAACAAAAGTCAGCCCCATGGCCAATGAACATAGCCCCCTTGACTTTCTTGCGTTCTTGGAACACAAGGAGATATGGATTCGAGAGATTCTGCCTCTTGTTGGAATGGGTCATTATGCCTTTGTTGGTGGTGTCAACAAACAACTCAACCAGCTTTACAAGGAATATGGTGCTGCAGTCAAGGACCCACCCAAGGTGAAGGCATATAATGAAGAACGAGATGCACAGGAGAAAATTGCAGCAACCAGCACTGACACCTTCTATGACAACACTTTGAGTAATGTGACGCTTGCCGCATACTGGCTTGCTGATAGATCTGGCCAGAACACCATTAGAGCTGGCGATGCTTGTCGGATTATTGCCAAGCTTGGAAATCTAACAGTTCTGCAATGGGCCCGTGAACATTGGTTTCCATGGAGTGAAGATACATGTGTGGCTGCTGCTGAAAATGGCCATCTTGAAATCCTCAAGTGGGCTCATGAGAACGGCTGTGAATGGGATGAGGATACATGCACTTTTGCTGCTCGAAGTGGCCATCTAGACATACTGAAATGGGCTCGTGAAAATGGATGTCCATGGGATGCTGCCACGTGCTCTTATGCTGCGGAAGGGGGGCATTTGGAAATACTGAAATGGGCTCGTGAAAATGGATGCCCTTGGGATTCACTCACATGCTATTTTGCTGCTGGGTTTGGGCAGCTTGAAGTTTTGAAGTGGGCACATGCCAATGGATGCCCTTGGGATGAAAAAACCTGTATTTTCGCTGCTTATAATGGCCATTTAGGTGTTCTCAAATGGGCTCGAGAGAATGGATGCCCTTGGAATGAAGAAATATGCAGTTTGGCTGCTAGAGGTGGTCACATTGGAATTCTGAAATGGGCGCGTGAAAATGGATGCCCATGGGATACGCGGACGTGTTTAGAAGCCGCTGAGAATGGGCATTTGGAGATTCTGCAGTGGGCTCGTGAGAATGGCTGCCCAGAAGAAGGGTCAGAGGACGAAGAGTAGTGATTCTGAGGCAGAATAAGATGATCAGGATCGAGAGCCAGTCATGTGGAGTTGAGGGGGACTTGGTGTGTGAGAAGGCACCCAGCAACAAACAACGGCCATATTCTTGAGAGTAGAGGATATCCGCCTTTTAATTAAATTGAAGTTGATTGCCTGGTCTCCTCTTTGCCTAGCGTCCTTTGTCAGTTTTGCCATGTTATCCAAATTATTAAATAAATACTGGATACCGGTACGTTGTTACATTTCCCCGAAAGGTTCACTAGATAGTGGAGCACTGGCCACCAAAGTGGTGCGAGACTTTGGCGCCTAGTTCGTTTCGTCCAGTAGAGTCTCCATTTCGTCCTCCCAGTTCAGTCAGTACCAGGTATCAGGTTGGCATTGCGTGATAGTATCTTGCTTGTGTGTGGCTTTGGCTTGCCTGTGTTTGGCTTCTCTGGCCTCCTGCAGCCAGTCCCATTTTTTAAAGTCGGATTGGCTTCTCCGTAGCCAAATAATGCACCACAAACAACAACGTCCTCCTCGAGAATCAGGTGCCGCCATGGGTTGCTCATTGTCCACATCAGTGCCAAAGTTTGGTACGATACGGTACGGTACGGTACGGTAAAGGACAGTGGGGTACATGTAGCTGTTCTTCAAGGCACGTCACCTGACCTCCTTGTATCGCGGGAGTCCACGTGCATGACGTATGATCAGTGAGTCAATGTTGCCTGGAATGCACAAGCCACGGCACCAGGAACAACACGACTTGACGACTGACTTCTATCTTCCTGTTCCTTTCATCGCCATGGCTCTCCGATAGCATTCCCTGTTTCCACTTTTCTCTTACTCTAGTACTTCAATCATACAAAACAAAAACAATAAGCAACAAGATGAACTGGGGCTACTTTTTCCTTTGGGTAGTGGCCATTTTCTTTTTGTTCCTGCTGACAGGTTGGCCGGTAACTCCGCACTTGAGTGATACTTGGGGCAATCACTACGACGCCAAGAACCTTACGTACTATGCCGTCCTGTACATTCATTACCTGCTGGGACCTTTGGTGTTTACCTTTTTGGGACTGGGCTTGTTTCGAAACCTCATTTGGACTCATACTAGTAGTCCTCGCCAGCTCATTTTCTTGTTGGCATACTCGGTCCTGTTGGCGTCCATTGCTGCCGTCTACTTGACGCACCAATACGCACCTCCGGATAACACCATGGTGGAGACCAGTAAGGAACTCTCGGCGGCTCCTACCGGTTTGGAAGATATGACCATGAATGTGACTGCCGCCAACGATGGAGTCTAAAAAAGGAAAAAGCACCATTGTCACTTTCATCCCACGCATTCCATCAACCGCTGGATTATTGAGAACTGGCAGCCTTCATCTGGGAAGCCAGTGGCTAGCTGGAGCCTTCCTCTCGTTAAAATGGCAAGGAACATAACAGATGCGGGGCCCACTATATCACAGGTAAAGCAAGCTTACATTGAGAAACACACTGTACTTTTAGGATTGCCAGCCACCCCACAAAGTTGAGTAGGTAGAGGCTGCCCGGCTAAACTTCAAGAGCTTCCATAACCAATGACTTTAATCAGCAAAACAAACCAAACAGAGTCGTCATGAACTTGTGCTCGTATTGTCCCATTTGACATCATTTTCACGCAACCACATTAGAGCACTGCAATGTCAGGTCCACAGTTAGTTCGTCGCACAAAAATGAGGGTTAGCAGTTCAAGGGGTCAGCCAAATACTAGCTAGCCTACCGGTTCTAGTAGTGGCCTTTTCCTTTCCTCATCTCTCTCCTCGTCATCCTCTTCTGAGCACCCCTTCCTTCCGTTCCCAAAAAAGGCAATGACAATTTCTGTTGTGGAGATTCCGGCATCCCCAAACTCATCAGCGAGGAGCCCAAAATGACCGTTTAAGTTGGTTGAGCATTGGGAGGAGCTGTCGAGTTACTGTCGACTCTTGGTTTCATTGGATAGAAGTCCGGCCCCGTTACTTATCTATTGCGTTCCTATCTAGGATAGCGAGATGCCCTCGAAGGAATATGGCGTATGGCCTACAACCTTCTTGCACACATAAAAAAAGCAACTGAAGCGAATATCATGGTGTATTAGACGAGCAATCTGCTATACACCGCAGCTAATGCGTGATAGCCAGCCACCTTGGACTCGCGGTGTCGTGGCTGGTTCGAATCAATAATTGTGCTGACTCGTAATGGTTTTGATAAGCGGCCTGCTTTTTGATACAGGCTTTCGTTCATCCAACAATATTGATGCTTCAGACGCTCATTCCCAAAGACCAGAATTCAATCCGTACCGTGTGGATGAATCTTTCCAGTTTCTACGATTGATCATGACTGGTCAACCAAATCCTTTCCTTCTGTGCCGGTGTGCGACGACCAGAAGCCCAATCAAACACTGTAAGAAGACTGCAAAGAATCCAAACCAGGCAAAGAACGGACACTATCATGATCATCTTCGCCGTCCATGGTTGATTGGGGTGCGCTCTTTGGAGCGGTGTGGGCTTCGGTCTGGAGCTGTTGTTGGAAGAATGCAGTACATTTGGCTGCCTGAATCCAGAACAATCGTGTCAAATTGTCAACGAGGTAAGTTGGATTCGATGGACCCATGACATCGGTGAACACCAAAAAGACGACAAAGGAGCCAATGGTTGCCTGGATGATGGTAAAGAAGAGAACCATAGCAAACAGCCGCCAAAAATAGATCACTGTGAACAACATGATAGCTGCACCCGCAAGCGTTGTGAATCCAGCAGCCAAAATGGATGGTCCCAAGTGAATCAAGGCATGTTTGGTTCGAGTGTGTCGATCCGTGTCGCCTGGTAGTTCGCAGTAGGCATGGCTGAAATGAAGGACAAAATCAGCACTCAAACCGATCAGAATTGTGAAGCAAACACTCTCCCTACAAACAGAAGAGAGGGTATAAAAGTTGATAAGAACCTTGTCTTGTGGTGGCGCACGTGGAGGATTCCATTGACAATCGAAAACTTACAGAAAGCCAAGAGTCCATTGTGCAGCACTCATTACAGCGGCCACCGAAAGCAACACAAACGCCACACTGATGGCAGAGAACACGGTCAAACTCAGCGATTTGGAAGAAATCAAGATCACCAACGCAGACACAAGAATGGCAATTGCTCCTGATCCTAGCGCAGTTTGATAAACTGCCGCATTGGTATCCCAAGCCAGGTAGTCCAGAGCAGTGGAGAAAGGGCTTCCCACCCCATCTGGTGCGTTCTCACTATCCTGTTCCATCCAGTCTTCGACCAGCCTCCACTCTTCTCCAAGAAGCTTGTTTGGGCTGTCGAACCGAACCCGACTCTTGTAGCCGAAGAAGATAACCTTGACAATGCCATCCCAAGCCAAAATGGTTCTTTCCCTCTCTTGCTGTGCCCACCCTGAAAGACACGGATGGAAAACATCTTCTTCCAGGGGCATTGCTGCGGATCCATTGCAATGCTCCGTGTACGTCTCGTTCTGATAATCCAATGGAAGGCTGGATTGCTCTTGTAACCATCCATCGAATTCATTGATAGCGCAATCAATATAACCACCATGGGGGCTGGCAAACTCTTGCGAAAAGAAAATGGCACAATAGTCCCTCATGTAAACTTGAGCTGCCTTGGGAGAGGGATCAAAGCTGTCGTCCAGGACCAGTTGTGACCATTCGTATGGGTCCAGGTGGTTCCCCGTGTCCGCTGGAATGACACCAAATATGACGGCTGCTCCACCTCCAGCCGACGACATTAACGTATCAAAGAGCAGCTCGGGCCGCCACACTCTTGCCTTCTCGTGTTCCACCGAATCAATGAGAATTTGGATCGAGCCAGTGGATTCTGGGGGCTTTAGTGTCGTGGCAAAGTAGGCACAAACACCCAGGCCCACAATCGAAACGCCCAGAATAGCATAGTTCCACCGATGGAGACAGTTGTAGTACGAAGTTAGGAGGCGCCGAATCAAGGAATTGTTCAGTGGCGTCTCCACACTTGCTGAGTTGTTGTCGTTGGCCTTTGCAGCTTCCTTGGCCAGCTGTACTTGATCCTCCTCTTCCATCTTTTCTTCCTCCCCTTCCATGTAGTCCTCTTCGACGGCTCTTCTGTTGTTGTTGTTTGGTTCTTCGTCGTCGTTTCCACTAGTGGCAACTTTGGAGCATCGAATATCCATGCAGTAGTTTCGCTGTGACCGATAGCTATCATAGATGCAGAGACAAGGAAACATGACCAGGCAGTCCAAGATGTAGTCCACCTGAAGAGCGGCAGAGGAAGATTCATACGGAGCGAATAGGTTAGTTAGTCGGCTGGTGCTTGCAGCCTCTCAAGACACATGCAACATGACTGACTTACCGCAATGAGCAGACCACAGAATATACCAAAGAGCTTGACTGGAAGTACCGGGCAAATGCCAGTACCGAAAAAGGCAATGGCGGTAGTGGTCGTCGTCAGCACCATGGCTCGTCCCGCTCCCGGAAGTGCTTTGGCGGCGACATCTTCTGTGGACGCATGAGGATGATCAATTCGTTCATTCTTCCACTTGTCCACTGCTACAAAGACATGATCTGCTCCCAGTGCAAATGCCACAAAGACTCCCACCAAGTTGAGAAAGGGGAAAAAGGTAATGCCTCCGGCAAAGCGATAGATCGTGTACGCCAATGGGAAACTGAGACTGATTTGAAAAATTCCGATAAAAGTCAAAAAGGGCGATCGCGTGTGGAACATCATGGCGGCCGTAGTAATGACAGCCGACGCACACATGAGAGTCATGTCATACGGGATCGCGTCCAGAGAATAAAACTCGACAAACATTTGATGTTGGTTGTCATATGCCACTTCCATTTTGCTCGTGTCGTTGCCTCTTCCAAACTCGTCCAACACGGCATACAGTTTCTTGGCATTGGCTTTTTTGTTCTTGGACATGAAAACAGAGCTCGTGGTGGTGACGCGTCCCGTTTGATCAAACCACTTGTCGACCATGGCGGGAGAGAACATGGTCGGACAGGGACCCCGGTCTTGTACATTGAAAAAGTCGGTGACACCTCGCAAGTGTCGAACGCATTGTTGAAACTCGTGCACCGTTTCGGCTTGATGGGGCGCCCATGCTTGTGCCAATTCCGGACAAGTCATGGCCATTCCATTCCGTACCGTGAATCGGGCGTACAGCACCAAGCTCATGGGCGGCAAGCATTGTCCATTGTTACATCCAAAGCAGAGTCCTTCGCGGTGCAGAATGGCTTGGGTCTGTTCTTCGGCCTCGCAAATGGTTTGCAAGAGGGCCGGATCCAACGCCGACGCGGCGGGGTCGGTCACTTTCCAGACTGGCCACAGACGACTTTTCAAGTAGAAATTGGGTTCCGCGTAAAAGCCAACGTCACACTGCGACCAGAGCTCTGTCAAACTGGTCGGTGATACACTACTTGTCTCGACTTGTTTGTCTTGTTCCTCCTCCACTTGACTACTACTACTATTCTCGTCAGTACTAGTGCTGTTGTTGCTCTGTTCCTCCACTGCAGCTACTACTTCTTCTTCTTTGAAGTTGTCGTTGGGACATTTCCCATCGGGCACTTCCCAACCACACTGAATGTTGGTCGTCAGATCCTCCCACACATCTTGATTCTTGCGTTTGGACAATGCCACGCGATTCCGGTTGACGAGTCGGTATTGTGTGTCTCGTTTCGACACGAGTGTGCCGCGACTGGGCCATCCCATGGCTTCAAAGGAAACGGAAAAATTACCAAAGTACATGCCCAAACCGGAAATGACAACGGCCACCACTAGTGCCGTCCATAGATGTGTTTGCGGCCATCGAGCGACACGACGTGCGGTGCGTTCCAGCAGAGTATACTGGGGTTGCTGTGGAGTAGTAGTGTTGTCCATCCTGGATGGTTCGCAATTACTATTAGTAGAAGAAGAAGAACAAGTCTGTGTGGTGGTGAGCGCCACTACTGCTTGGCTCCGCTCCTCGGGCGTGACAGGCACGGGCGATTCCTCCGGTATCATCGTCGTGTGTTGTTTGTGGTGGCTGCTCTGATGTGATTTGCTGTTGTGAGATTGTTTTGGTGACAGAATGGCGACTTCAGGCAACCGAGGCAAGTTACCAGGTTGTCCTTCTTGTGGCCTCTTGGAAAGAAAGCAACAGAGCAAGCAACCTTGTGTGGCTCCTTGCTCCTTCAATGGTTGATTGGGATTGGGCATTGAAGGTTGCGGTTCCCCTCGCGTCTTTGCCTTATTCGGCCACGGGTCAGATGATTTAACGAAAGTCATTCAAAAGCCAGGACCGGTACTGCACCATTTTACGAGCTTAGGTGATCCGGCACAAGTCATGGATCAGCTGGACATTTCTAGGTCGTGGTACAACTTTATTAGGGTGAGAGTTCTGGAACAGAAACAAATCGAGCGAAACAAAAATCCACGCGAAAGCCAAGATCCACCACCCATGGCATCAGCACCGACCGCCACAAACAGGCGAACCCTTCCACTTTGGCGGCATCTATCTATCAACTTACTTGTCATGTCTTTTGCTCCCTCTCAACCCGCTGCCAAAAAGCAGAAATTATCCCTTCCTCCGGCTAACATCTTGCTAGATCGAAAGGATGTTTGGATTGGCCAGATCCTTCCTTTGTGGGCATGGGTCATTATGCCTTTGTTGGAGGTGTCAACAAACGACTTAACCAGCTTTACAAGGAATATGGCCCTACAGTCAAGGATCCTCCCTCTGTTATTGAAAACGTAGAGAATGAATGCCCATGGGATGAACGCACATGCTCAGCTGCGGCTGAAGAAGGAAATTTGGAATTGCTGAAATGGGCTCGCGCGCAGGGATGCCCTTGGAATGATACTACTTGCAAATCTGCTGCGGGACATGGTCGCTTAGAACTTCTGAAATGGGCTCGAGAGAATGGATGCCCTTGGGATGAAGACACATGCTTAGAGGCAGCGGTGAACTGTCAATGGGAAATCCTGAAATGGGCCCGTGCGCAGGGATGCCCATGGGATAGAGCGGAAATTGAAGATTTGACGTATGCCTTTGAGGAGATTCGGCAGATCGCTCGTGAGAATGGCGAGGAGTCAGAGGACGACGAGGGCATTTATTTTAAATTGTGAGGCTCATGAGAATGCCGACCAATGTCGTGTGCTGGGTTTGCTCTGCGATCTTGGCATGAAATTCACAAAAATGTCATTTAAGATTGTTCGAAGGTGGTTGCGCGATGAGAAGAGATGCGACTGGGACAAGTGAACATTGCCAATGTTGTCGAAGCTCTTCGAATAGTACAGTGTTCGAAACTATCCTATCGCCGGACACTTTATGTTTTCTACATACATGCATACATGGCTGTCTGCGCTTATCCAAAAGCTAAAATGTGTAGACAATGTTTATATTTTCTCTAAGCAGGTCCCAGAACGGTGTCGTTTCCAAACTGGAACACGGGGCGTCGATAATCCCGCTCCCATTGGGGGTCGATGGAAGGCACAATGTCATTGTCGTGACACTCCGCACCACCGTCCACGCAACAAATCGTACAACAGTCACAGTTGACTTCTCCGCAGTCGGCCGCCAATGGTAATCGATCCGTTGCATTGACGGAAAACTGGGGTAGACTGCACAAACTCAAACTCATGGATCCCGATACCGAGTTGTTGTCCACAAAGAACAGAGACAGCGAGGGAAGGGTTCCCAACGACGACGGAACGGGTCCCGTCAACAGATTGTTGTTCAAGAGCAGCGCGTAGAGATCTTCGGTTTGATTTCCCAAAAACTGCGGAATGTTTCCTCGCAAGGCGTTATTATCCAAATCCAACAAGATCAGGTTTGGTAGGTCCGTCGCCACGAAAGAAGGAAGGACCCCCGTTCGCTGTGTGCTTTTCAGGGACAGTTCTCTCAAGTTGGACAGGGCACCGTAGGTTTGCGGGATGATCCCCGAGTCAAAGTTGTTTTCCGCCAAGAAAAGATACGTCAATTGAGGTGGGAGGTTCGTGGGTAAGGGTCCAGTGAGTTTGTTCTGAGAAAGGTCTAGATGCGAGAGTGATTGGAGGTTGGCAATGCCGACCGGCACCGGTCCTTCCAACTGGCATTGATGGAGCGCCAGAAACTTGAGTTTGCCGTTGATGGGAAATGTCTCTGGGAGTCGCTGGAATTGGTTGCCATGTAGATCGAGCGTTTCCAGATTCGACAAGCCAAACAAATGAGAAGGAACATCTCCATCCAGTCGATTGTCCGAGAGATCCAGAATCCGAAGCACTTGGGCGTCCACCATAAAGTCGGCAGACAGTGTCCCCGTGAATCGGTTGTCCTCGAGAAAGACATGGGTCAAGTTGACAAATGGAGTTAAAAATTGGATATTCCCCGTCAGCTGGTTGTCGTCCACGGCCAGAATGCGCAAGGTTCCAGCACTTTGAATGAGTTGTGCGGGCAGCGGACCCGTCAAGTTTTGATTGTTGGAGACAGTAATGCCCCGGAAAAGTCCATTCTGGCCCAGCTTGGGAGGAAGAGGACCATTCAAGCGATTGTCGTTGAGGAACAACGTGGATAGAAGAGGTAATTCTTGTAGGGAGTGCGGAATGGTTCCCGTGAGACGATTCTGTTCCAGATCAATTCCCTTCAAGGACCAGAGGAGGCCCAACTCGGGTACGATGGGCCCTTTCAATCCATTGAAATCCAATTTGAGGGAGACTGGGAGGCCGTCATCGTCACACCGAACGCCCAGAATATCCCCCAGAAAGTTTCGGGATTGCCATTCGCACGGTTGAGTCGATGTGAGAAAACCAACCTTGGAGACCCATGGATTGGTGGCGTAGTACAGACACGCTAGAGCGTATTGAACCGTGACATTGTAGGCTGGGTTGTTCACCAGGACTTGATAGTCCGTCGTTGGAATTGTGGTATTCATACTTTTCAACCAAGCGAGGGCTTTGCTCTGGTAGCTCAAATTGCTAGTACTACTACTGATACTCAACAATGAGAAGTCCTCCCTCTTGGCAATTTCTTGATGGACGAGCCAGTCTGCAAGACTATCGATCGGTGCAGGGGTTGGTTCTGATGTGGTGGTAGCAGTAGGAGTGGTAACATTCTCGTTCGTACTGGTAGAGTTGCTGGAAGAGCTGCTGGCAGTGCTGCTGGTAGAGCCGCTGGTAGAGCTGCTGGTAGAAGCTTCGCTGGTGGTACCTTTGCGAAGGACACCTAAAGAGATTCCGCCAACAATGGCGGCCATCAAAATCACGATTCCAACTACGGCAGCCACGCGATGACGGCTGCAAAACGGACGCTTCTTCCTTCCATCAGGCGGAGCGGGCGGGAGAGAGTGGGCATCCCCCAAGGAGGATTCCACATCCATCATAGTTTCATCTTTCATCATCTTGTCAGGATGTTCTCAGGGTATTAATTAATTTTGCTTGGGTATATTCTGTATTTGTGAGAGCTGCTGAAAGAACAGTAGATGGCGCATTTCGCAAGATCGACAGACAGCAAGAGGCTACACGAGAGCTGATGTCAGATCGATGTGGTGGGTACTTGTGGTGCTTGTAAACTTGGAACCTTACCTCGTCCTCTCTTTAGCAGAGACAACAGAAATTTCCGTTCAGCATTGGGAGTGAAAGTTTTGGTCGCGGGGATGATTATTTGAAGAAAGTGAGAACTTTCATAGTATCCAAGACTCAAAAGATATCAGTCACATAAGGACAGGGTTACAACTTAATCTTTTCCACGATGCGTGGCCACGCGCGTATTCGGATAAAGGACGGACGAAGAACGAACTGATCACTGCCAGATGCTGCCGTTCCCAGTCTCTGGCAAAGTTTTTGTTCGAGGAAGCTCACAATTCAACCCACGGGCTAGCTAGAACCTGGCGTTCAACTCATCGAACAGATCCCAGCAAATAGCTAGCTGGCTACCATACTAGTAGATAGACGACAACACAGTTAGTTAGTTGACAATGACATCTGAAACAGATCCAAATGCCAAGGCAAGACGGCCGATACACCAGAGGCCAAACGAATGGTGTCAGCTTCTGTTGGTCCTGGTCTTGTTCATCTTGATCAATCTTACGACAGATCTCATTTCGATGGAGCACAGCCATGCTCTGATCAAAAATATGTCCGGCATGATCCGAGGGAGCACAGGGAGCCAGTTGAAAAATAACTTTCAAGAGAGAAAAATGTTCGCGCAGCAGGCATTGGATCTAATGGAACACGAGGCGGTGTTTGAAAGCACGCTCACCAACAGCAAGACCGTGCTGGAGAGAGGATTTCCCTTTCAATGGGACCCTTGCACTCTTCTGAGCATCTTTCGACAAAATGACGAGCACGGAACCCCATCAGATCCACTCAAGATTGTGTTTCTAGGAGAAACTGCCACGGCCCGGGCAGCGGACTCGTGTACACCGAAAGGAAGTGATGATCCACTGGAGGGACGCTTTACGAACATCCTGAAACGCTCCCTGGAAAATGATTCCGACATGCTTGTGGAAGATCACCAAGACATCAAGATTGACTTTGAGGTGTCCAACTTAGCACAAGGGGGAGTTGGAAGCGTGTATAGCGCCATGACGTTGGATTCCAAGGTCGATCCCGCAAATGTGGATGTTCTGGTTTATGAGTTCTTCATCAACGACAATTGGAACGCTGACCACGCCGATGTGATCAAGCTTGAAATGTGGCTGATTCGAGTCAAGGCATTCTTTGAGAGAAAGGGCCAAAAGGTGCCCCCCATCATGCTACTCTTCTTATGGGAAGAAAACATTGGCATGGAACACATGAAGAACAAAGTTTTGAAGCACGGGTTGGACAAACCACTCTTTGGAGCTTGGAAGGCAATCGAGCGGTACAAGAAACAGGGCTGGAACATTCAGGCTCTTAGCGTAGGGTCCACATTCGAAAAGATGTTTGCCATCGCCAGCAATCCTGGACTCATTGTGGACGATCAACACCACCCAAATTGTTTCAGGTACGACGATGCAACTTCACAAGGGATTGTTGTGCGCTTTGTTTTGATTCTCGCAGTACTTCTTACTCTCTTTTGCACTTCCCCCTTGCACCTTCCTCATTCGTTAATCAGCGTCCATCATATAGCTGACATGATCAGACATGCAATCTACACGGACATGGCGACTTGCAAAGAACTCCCACTTCGAGATGCCCGCCAACCGATTGTGGAACATCGTTCGGCATGGAGAGACAATCTTCTTTCCGAGTTTGATGCCGAGCCCGACACGAAAAACATTTTAGACTTTTTACTTCGCGAAGATATTAAAGTGGCATCGTTGACTCCTTGGCAGCCACCGATCGTTGGTTCTACCGACCTTTCCATTGGAAACGTGGAGGAACTAAAGGGATACCAAATCGCGCAAACCTCTCCGCAGGTGGATGAACCCTTTCCTTCTAGGGAAGATCGTCGACGAGGCTTTCCAATTCCAGCGTGTTCCACTCACCAAGGAGGTGTCACCTTTGTGCTCAAGGAACCCAACCTGGAGTGGCTGGGCGTCAACCTTCATCCCATTGGCGAAGGCGTTGACATCGAGGCAGTTGAGTGGACAGTGAATGGACATACCATGGGACTCGTCACGAGAAAGCTCTTGCCCATGAAGTTTGTGACCAACTGGATTCGAGTTTCAGAGAGCTTGCCTACTCGAACCAAGGAATACAAAGTGAAATTCTGCAACACAGACCCAGAGGGAGGTACCATTCAACTACAACACTTAGTTGGTATCATGAGACCAGCTCTTACGGAACGGGAAAGTGATCTTCTTGAGCTTCTCAACCATGGCAATAACTGAACTTGCTTTGCATTGGAACGATCAATAGTAATAGCTACATATTCTTTATAACATCGATGCGTATATTGTCAACAGCGACAACACCAACTTTAGTAGTAGAAACCGAGCCCACAGCTATTCCTTCTTTTGAATGAAGGGCGGGGGTCACCGGAGGGAGAGTACGCATACAGGGGCAGAGAGTGTGGTACTTCGCATTAAGGGAAGAGACACTAGCAGAAGGGAGGCGTTGACCTTATACAACAACCAACCACACCTGAAGCATACAAGCAGTCTGTAGATTGTCACGAACAAGCTAAGAGTAGAATGAATCCAAAAGACGTAACCAGCGTCCTGGAAAGGCATGCTGGGCTCTTTAAAACAGGAACGGACAACTCAAGCATTCAAGCGATTGCCAAGAGAGGATTGTAGAGACAGACATTTGTTATGGATGATGATGAATACTAATTAGGACAAGTTTATTTATGAGGTTAGTAATGGCAGTCAGGGAGCAGATGACTAGTATGAGCTGATGGCAACTTCTAGTTTTGCTTTGGCATCTGCCAGCACTTGTGGATCTGCTTCCTCCTTTAGAACTAGTGCTGTTCCTCCTTCATTTTCATTGAATCCCACGGCCAAGAGCAAACTCTTGGCCCCAAGAAAGGGCTTTACTTTGGCCTTGTACGCTTTGTTTTCCATGTTGATTGATTTGAACTTATCTTCTGTGGGATTGTCGACAACATTTGAAACATAGATCTTCAGAATCTTCAGACACTTGAGCCCATCACCACCTGCCCGGTAGCTGGACACCTTTCCAATGTACTCATCGATTTTGGCAGCGCTGGGCCCCAAAGACTTCTTCTTTTGTGATGCTGCTGCTGCTGCATCACCCTCTTGCTTATCTGTGTCCTTGTCGTATTGGATCCCGTCTGGGTTGTACCCGTCCACTCCCAAACGAGAAGAGAGCTTTCCTTTGTTGGCTTGACGCTCCAATTTGTCCTTTTCCAGCTCGGCACGAATACGTTCTCGCTCCCGCTTGGCAGCTTCTTTCTCCTTCTTTCGCTGGAGGGCATCTCGCTTCCGTTGTTCAATTTCCATTTGTTCCCGAGTTTTGGCCATTTCTTTTCCCATCTTTCTCAATGAACACAGAAGTCACACAAAGTGAGTCAACCATGCATTTGCACACAGACCATCATTTTCGTGCCAATTTTACTTACAAATCGTCGATTCTTTTCTCGTTGCACATGATCCACTTTTTCCTCAGCCTCTCGTTCGGCCCGCTTCTTTTTGAGCAGTTCTTTGATTTCCGCAATTTTCTGTACCTTTTCCTCCGGTGTCAGAGGTTTGACATGCTCTGTAGATTCTTCAAAGTCACTGTGGCCCGTTTTGTTGGCATGAAGTTCGAGATTGGCCATGTTGGACAAGATTTTCCCACATTCATTGCACCGGTACGACTGAGCAGCAGTAACACCACCACCACCTTTGGGTTCTTGCAATGGAATTGGTTCATCAATGTCTGTGTCATCTTGATGTTCCGTCAGCCTTATGGTAGAACCAGAAAAAGTTAGAAAGGCACTGACTGTATTGACATCTGCATACACACGCACAAAGAAAGAAAGAAAGAAAATACAAACCATTCAATGGCAGCATCGACGGTACGAGCATTGCCATTCAAAAGTCCCTTTTGGGCTCGAATCAATGGAAATCCCATTTCTTCCGTGAGTATCTTGACGATGGATGGGTCCAGATCCACCGTAGGATCCACCATTATTTCCGCTTCTTCCGTTTTTGCATCGCCATCCCCATCTTTGGCCACTTCCTCATCTTTCATTTCAAGATCCTCCTCCTTTTTGGTGGGTGGTTCTTTATTGGCATCCTCTGCCATGGTGGTCGACTTGGTTAATTCTCAGAGTTGGACGAACAGATCGATGTGATTTGTGTTGTCTCTGAAAGAGCGGTTAACCTCCGCAGGTAAACTGCCTGAGTTCTCAACCCCTTTACCTCGGCAGGTTAACTGCCTGAGTCCTCTACCCCTTTAATGGCATATGTTCTGTCTGTGGGATCCCCCTGGTTTTTGTCTGTGGGATCCCCTCGTTTTGTGTCTGTGGGATCCCCTATTCCGGTGAAGCCAGGGTATAAGGATAGAGATAATGTAAGCTGGCAAAACTGGAAATTGAAGGTTCAATAAAAGTTAGGGGTAGGAATATATCAATGTAATTTAAGGTTAGTGCACTCAGGACAAAAACACAATAAGCCAGCAGGTGTTGTAAATTTAGAGTTACACGATCGAATGATAGCTGTAAATTATGGGTTAGCCCGTGGCTACACCAATGCTAGCTTAGATATAAAACAGAAGGTTACAATGAGGGAATGATAGTGGGTGGCAACACACGACGAAGTCGGGTGTTGTCGCCAGGGCTAGCATACATAAAAAAAAGGTTATAATGAGGGAATGATACCGGGCGGCAACACACGACCGTCGTGTGTTGCCGCCCGGGCTACCTTGAAAGAAGGATGCAATCTCAAACATGATCCTCTTTCTTCTATTTGTCTTTCTGCCGAGGTATCGCAGCTCCCGCTGACTTAAATGCTATTTCCTATTTCCTATTCCGGTGAAGCCAAAGTATAAGGATAGAGATAGTCATAAGCCAACAAAACTGAACATTGATGGTTCTATACAAGTTAGGGGTAGGAATAAATCATTAATATTTAAGGTTAGTGCAATCATCACAACAGCACAATAAGCCAGCAGGAGCTGTAAAGGTTAGAGTTACAATAAGGGAATGGCAGCTGGTAAATTATAGAGTAGCGGGCGGCAACACACGACGTAGTCGGGTGTTGTCGCCAGGGCTAGCTTAATAAAAAGAAGGTTGCAATGAGGGAATGAATGATACCGGGCAGCAACACACGACGTAGTCGGGTGTTGTCGCCAGGGCTAGCTTAATAAAAAGAAGGTTGAAATGAGGGAATGAATGATACCGGGCGGCAACACACGACATAGTCGGGTGTTGTCGCCAGGGCTAGCTTGAAAGATGGGTGCAATCCGAACATAATCCTCCTTCTTCTATCTGTCTTTCTGCCGAGGTATAGCAGCTCCCGCTGACTTATTGGTTTGTGTTGTCTCCCTTGCAACGCCGTTGCCACCGAAAGATTTAGAAGTCACGTGCACGACTGAGTCACGCTCCTGGTGTCAACTTTCTAATAAAAGAGAGAAAAAAATCTGACGCGCCGAAGGCATGGCATGAGTGCGTTTCACGGAACACAACGTTGATTGCATTGTTACATTCCCCATGCCATTATTATTTTTGCGAAAGATCTACAAGAGTTTTCGCCTTGCTTCCGCATCCGTCTCTCGCTCTCTTTTTGCCACAACTATATTCCTTGAGCCATTAACTAGTAGTACAAGTACGTCCACGATGATGGAGATTGAACCCCCACCCCCACCGGAAGTATCTCCTCCTCAACCCGAAGTGGTGGAATTGGCCACACTGGCATTGCCTGCGACGGCACTGGACGGTGGCATGGAAGCGGGTCAAAGTGCTCATGTAGTGTTGGAAGCCAGCAATGAAACGGTGGAACACATTCAAACGGCCACGCAAGATGCCACGGCCGATCAACCCATGATTAGTGCCGTGGTCGATTTGGAAACCTTGGCGGAATTGGCCGGTGCGACAGAAGAAGATTTTATCAGCGGACTGCATCAAGATGCGCGCGACAATCGGGCGGCAGAAACGGCAGCGGAAGTGGAAGGGGACGAAGAAGTGGGAGAAACCACGCCACTGGTAGTAGTAACAACAACAACAACAGATGAAGAAGAAGCCACGGGTACCGAACAAATTACATTACCCGCGGATCCGTTTATTGAAAGTCTCGCCGACGCCCTTCTTCAAACCGTCCCGGAAGAGGAAGATCTACAATCTATCGCTGGAACAACCGTGGGTGGACACGAAAGTCTCGCAGGAGCTACATGGGCCAGTGCGTCCTTGGTTGTAACGGGTGATGCGGCCACATTGTTGAGTGGAGAACAATTGGAAGAACAACATTTTGCCCACGATGCGTTTTTGCTCGATGTACCGACCACCGACGAAGACGGACATACCGAGCATCGTTACGTATTGGCATTGCCGGAAATTGTCGTGGAACCTTCGGTGCAAACCGATACATCTCAACTGTCACATGGTTCCTTTACCATGATGGAACGGGCCATGTCCATTTTACCCAGTACTACCCGATTGCCCTCGGATATTGAAGCGGTCCATTTGGAAGCTACGGAAGTGGAACCCAGCAAAGAGGATCCAACCACACAAGTCCATTTGGATTTGGTCGTCGAACGACGGGTTCCAGTCATTGGTTATGTCATTTTATTTGCTGGATTGTTTGCTTTGGCCAGTGTGGGAGCGGCATTGGATTTGCAAGAAGGAGGTGTGACACCCACCATGAAGACGTTATGGCGTCAGACGGCAACCTTTTTGGTCTATTTGCCCATGGTCATCAAGTCCTTGCGTCAAGATGGGATCCCAAAATTGGAGTCCACTCAATGGGTGCTGTTGCCCATTAGTTCCATGGCGTATACCTACATGACGCTGGCATTTGTCCTTGCTTTGGAAATGACTTCCTTGGCCAATGCGTTTGTTCTGTCCAATATGACTTCTCTTGTTATTATTGCTGGGAGAGCAGTTTTGGGATTGCCCATTTTGGCATTGGAAGGAGGAGGTGCCATCACTGGGTTCATTGGAGCTGCCATTTGTGCTCAAGCACAGGGAGCTGACATTGGACGAAGATTGCTACTAGAACTGGATGTGTCGTTTTGGGGCAATGCCATTGCGTTTTCTGCCAGTTTTGGAACGGCAGCTTATTTGTTGATTGCCAAAAAATTGCGACCAAAAATGGATCTGTTTGTCTTCATGTCCATCATTATGGGATTTGGGGCGTTGCTGTTGGTGCCCTACTTGTACTTGATTGGAGAAGACATTACCTTTGATATGCATCCAGTACATGGTGTTTTCGGGTGGTTGAACTTGCAGGCGGACCGCCTGCCATTGGAGCTCTACATGGCAGTTGTTTGCAATTGTTTGGGAACTACAGGATACATTGCAGTCATGAAATACTTTGATCCCATTGTTCCAGGTAAGAATAATGGGCGGAGTTTTTCTGTTCAAGGGACATATTGCAGGGTTATGTTGGTTACTGGAAGCCTCACTTTCTGTTTGCGTTTTCTTTGCTTGAATCAGCCACCGTGATGCTTTTGGAGCCTGTCATTGGGGCTCTTTTAGGGGCCGCAGCAGGCACCGCACCCATACCCGGCCTTCAGACCTGGTTGGGAAATTTGGTGGTGGCAGGAGGTACTTTCTTGGTCACTTATGCTGGTTCGAGCAAGACGGAAAGCATTGATGCGACGGAAGCTTTGCGCCCTGGTGTTGGCACATTTGTGGATGGCGATGATTCGGCTAGTCTCAAGTCCTCCGTGGTGAAGAGCCCCTTGATTCCTCGCCCTTCCGCACTACCCTCGGTGGATGAGCGCAAACCACAGACCGATGCTGTTGGTGACAACAATATGCCAGCTCCGGCCAAGGTGGTTTGGACGACCGAGTAAACTGGCCGAACGTTCGGTTGTATAGCAGATTGTTGTAGTGTAAAATGGTGCGTATGCTAAATGCTTATATGATTCAATAATGATGAACGCGTTAGTTAGCTAGCTACTACTGTTTGCAAGTCAACTACGGTACATGCATGTCGCCTCTGCTGCACGGCCGTCGCTCGAGGATCACACCCTCATTGAAAGTGTGAGCGACACTTAAAATCAAGTTGGACAGAACCTAGTCCTGAATTTCGACTGTTCTTTGCTTAAGCCTGGCCCCGGCTGGCTTCCGTAGATAATTTCCCTACTCTAAAACCCCCCTTATATATAGTTGGATCGCTCACTCTTCCAATGCAAGGCATCACTTGCTTCCCCGCAGGTTCAGAAATCCAAAAGACGTCCTCTTGAGAATGGAATAATTGGAATGAAAAGCATGTCCCTGCTGCCTTCCAAACTTGACTTTGGAAATCCGCTTTGTTGGGTTGGCTGGTGATCATCTACCGGTACGGTACCAGAGCGTGGCATGGAAGACTTGGTCCTTTTCCTCTTGTGTAAGTCTGAACCAACTGTCTGAAAATGCCTCAGGTTTCGGGCAAACAGGTATTTCAGATAGCTGCGTCATTTGTACTGCATCATTTAATGACCGGTGGGTGCGCTCGCGCCCCCACCTCCTCAAATCCAATGGCTCTGCCCAACCCGACATTCGGACATTCCATTCTATCCCCATAGTAACACCCTCTCATCATCCAAGCCCCAAGCCTCCTCCTCTTTGTTTACACTGCCTGGTACAACAATCATTGTGTCTAGCTAGCTAGCTAGTTCCTCCACTAACATGGACCCTGCCACAAAAAGGCAGAAAGTCTCCCCTTCTGATGATGTCTTGTTGTTGGATCGAAAGGATGTTTGGATTGAAGGGATTCTCCCCTTTGTTGGGATGGGACACTATGCCTTGGTGGGTGGCGTCAACAAGAAATTGAATCAGCTCTACAGGGAATATGGGGCTGCCGTCAAGGATCCTCCAAAGCGTAAAGGCGACTGGAATGATGAGGAGGAGTGTTGGGAGAAAATCGCTGTAGCAAGCACCGACACCCTCTATGAGGCAATTTTCTGCAATGTGGCGTGTGCTCAATACTGGCAAAATTTTGGCGAAAAATGCATTGAGGAATTGGTCACCCGTGATTCTGATGTTTGCCGCATCATTGCCGAAGTTGGTAGCATTCCAGTTCTTCAATGGGCGACAGAGAATGGATATACAATGGCTGCAAGTACAAGCTATGCTGCTGCCAAGTATGGTCACTTTGAATTGCTGAAATGGGCACGAGCCAATGGATGCCCCTGGGATGATGACACATGTCAGGCTGCGGCGAAAGGAGGACATTTGGAAATACTGAAGTGGGCAAGAGACAACGGATGCCCTTGGGATGAATTTACATGTGCAGCTGCAGCCGTAGGAGGGCATTTGGAATTGCTGAAGTGGGCTCGTGAGCAGGGGTGCCCATGGGGTGTCCATATATGCTCGGCTGCTGCTGAACATGGTCGCTTTGAATTGCTGAAATGGGCTCGTGCAAATGGATGCCCGTGGGACGGAAGCACATGCACAGCCGCAGCTGCAGGCGGGCATTTGGAATTGCTGAAATGGGCTCACGAGCAAGGATGCCCATGGGATGAAGATACATGCTTTGAGGCTGCTGAGCATGGTCACTTTGAAATTCTGAAATGGGCAAGAGAGAATGGATGCCCATGTTGTGAACTAACATGTGGAGAAGCAGCCCGATTGGGTCACTTGGAGATGCTGCAGTGGGCTCGAGAACATGACTGCCCATGGGATGAAAGCACATGCAGAGCTGCAGCTGAAGAAGGACATTTGGAATTGCTGAAATGGGCTCGCGCAAATGGATGCCCGTGGGACGGAAGCACATGCTATGTTGCGAGCAAAAATGGTCATTTGGAAATTCTGCAGTGGGCTCATGAAAATGGCTGCCCATGGGATGAACGCACATGCATATCTTTGGCTGAAGAAGGACATTTGGAATTGCTGAAATGGGCTCGAGAACATGGATGCCCATGGAATGAAGATGCATGCTCAGCTGCAGCTGTGGGAGGGCATTTGGAGATTGTGCAGTGGGCACATGAAAATGGGTGCCCGTGGAATGAAGACACTTGCTTAGCTGCAGCCACAAACGGTCATTTGGAAATCCTGAAATGGGCTCGTTCTCAGGGATGCCCATGGAATAGACAGAGATTAATTTCACATTTCCCCGTTTATGGTCATCGGGATATTATTCAGTGGGTTCGTGAGAATGGCTCATCAGAAGAGGGGTCAGAGGACGAGGCATAAGAACGGGATCCTAAAATAGTAGTATGCAGTGGTTAATGCTTGTTAGTCTAGCTGTTGTAGTATGCATCTCAGGCAGTCTTTCTGCTATTCTCACTCTCGAAACTGAGACCGTCCAGTTGATACTCTGTTGCACTGTGCAAAATGAACGAACCAAACGAAAAACAGGAGCCACCCTTTCATGTTGTGTGCTCCATTGATTCGAGATTCATTCCAAATCATCCAAAAACTCCTTGTGCAGTAATGAACTCATCCATTCATGCAAAAAAATGAACTCACACCAGCATCATGATTAATTAATGATCATAATGCTGCGAGTATTGGATAAAGGCATCGGTAAAGAAAATGGTACATCCGACAGGCAATGCAACAGCAATCATGTTTTTGCCCAACCCACGGGTCATGAACCCGAGTCCCATTTCCCGCCACAAACTGGTCGTAGTTGCAACCAGACCTTGATGTGTCTTGAACTGTTCGTTGCGAATGACATCCAAAGGATTGGTCAATGCGGCACCGGCAATTCCGGCCGTAATCGATTTGACGGCACTGCGGAGCAATCGCTCCGATTCGTACGATTGCGAGGAGGGATCGGGGTGAGGGAGACGTGCTTCCATGGCATCCTTGACGGCAATGGCGGTACAGTACTTGGGAACCGTCTTGAGGACACCGGCCGTGGTACCATGCCAGAGTCCTTGCACGCCGTGATTGCGGTACAAATGCTTCAGAGATTGAACGACATTGGGGAGATTGTAGGCGGGATCTTGGAGTGTCACTGTGGCACGGACAATGGGTTGATTGACCAGTTGGACAATGGTCGACATGACCAAGGGAGGTGCCACGGTAGCGGTCGCTTCACTGTATCCTTTGTCCAACAAGAGCTGACGTCCGACATCGGAAAAGTAAAAAATGGCGGCCCGAGCATACGTCATGCCAGCGACAGTGGCCACCATGCCCTTGTACGGTGGCAAAAAGCCATAGACGTAGGGCGTCAATGTAGGAGGAATGGTTACGCCTCCAATATGCATGGCCGCCACACGGAATCCCGATTGTCCAATGGCGGCACTTCTCCAAAGCGGATAACATCCTGTGGCGGCCAACGCCGAAGCACAAAAGTATTGCACGGGGTATTCTTTCGCAGCGGGGCCTCCCATCTTGAACGTTGACTCAGTTGTTACTTGGAATGGACTTGGAATGGAACGCAAAAAGCAACGATAGAAGACTGAAAGCCAATGGAATACGGTAGCTGGTAGAGAGTAGCAGCAAGCAATCGTTGAAAGATGGCTCTGTCGTTCTATATTGTGAGCTTTTATCCCCACTCACTCGAGCCGTAAGCTTCCTTTTGAGAATGCAACTGTGTAGAGAAGCATACTGGCAACTAGCTAGTAGAGTAGCACGGTAGGATTGGTATCAAGAGAGAGAGAGAGAGAAGACACGGGTAAGACAGGGATTCTTGATCGTCACACTTGACTTGATTGGATGGTGATCCACTCGAAGAAAGGATTCTATTTCGGCTACTTGCATTCATTGTTCCACAGCACACCACTGAGGACTGAGGTAAGCTAGCTAGTCTTGCGTACTACTAGCACAAGCACCTACTACCAGCTGTAATGCAGACACACCCAAAGCAGCAGCAGACACAATCCTCTTGCGAAAATTCGGGCCGAACTCAAGTTGTCAACGAGAAAGCTGCTCGTCACGTTCCTTCCCTTGTGGACGAGATTCTCACTATCACCCCGCGTGACACTCACCAGAGTGGACGTCATGACGCCTTGTCAGCCTTACGGACAAGAACAATGTCATTCACCGAACACACGAATGCCTTCAACCGAGTTCCAAGAATTTGGACAGCAGCGAACGCCATTCATCCCACGAGCAGGCTGGACACAGGAGTCAGTCACTGAAGCGTACGGCGGGAAGCTGGACCACCACATTCCAAGGAAGAGACACTTGGAATGTGCTGGGCCACGGGATGCAAAGCAAAGAGGTCTTCATTTGATGCACTCTCATCAGTCAGTGGTGCCTGTGGCGAACTATTTGATAGATCAATAACCGGCTATAGAGAGATACAGGTTCCACTCAAGCTGCTCCGGCAGAAAGGATACAAAGCTTTCGCAGCCAGTATTTTGGTTCTTCAGGCACCAGATTCCTCATTGGTGACCACTTCATGCATTCGAACAACTGGCTTCTTGGTACGATGTGGGTTGCTTATTAAGATCCAAGTGGAACGCACCCGTTTCTCCTAGCAACTTATCTGGCTAAACTAAGCAAGCTAACGGTGGGATGATGATAATGATGATACTGGCCCAGCATTCGTGGACGTCATTTATCTGTCAATCGGGGGGATAATCAGGATATCTCTTGCTAGATCCATCCATTTTGGCTGTCCACACAACAAGCGCATGTCCATCCTCGAGTTGCGTTAGGTAGCCAGGTGTTGTTGCTCGAGGAAGACGCACTCAGACACCGCTCGCTCTTTCAGAGACCGACGGCCGAGATGCTGTGGTTCTGAGGACGCCCGCAAGTGCGAGAGTGCAAGAAGAGCACAATAGTGAGCCAGCGTCTGCCAGGTGCTCTTCTTCAGTTTTTGCTTCTCAAGTCTGAAGTCTTTTGCAATGATAGCAGTCCACCTGCTTCCGTGAAACACCAGAGGCCGAAACGCCTCAGACCCCAAAACTCTTGGGCAATAGATCTAGCGAGCTAGCTTGCGGTATGCACACGGCAACCACCAGCTATTAAATAGCCAGAACCGCAAAACAGAGAGAGCTCAAAAGCAAGTTCAGGTTTACCGCACCAGTACAGAAACATTAAATATTCTGGTCCCCTCTCGTTCGCCCCCCCACTAGATGTCTGATCGTAGATATATTGCACCATTGAACCTTCTGGAGAATGTACTATAGCTACTAGGGTGTAACTTGCAATGACATAAAAAGAATGACTCCAAGTCCCTGATCGGAAGGGAATACTGCAGTACAGTTCTCTTTAGCACTAGAGATTTAAGCAGTGGAAGTTAATGTAAATCTTTGTGAAATGATCAACTTGCTTAGTAGTACCGGTACCTCACCTCCTCTCGTACCGTTTTGTAAGCTCTTTGTACCGGTCAGTAGCCAAAGACTAAGTCGAGACATTCACTGGTTAAGATGTTCTACCCTGTTCCAACTATGACCCAACGATGACCAGCCACTCCACAAAAGGCCCCTTCTCGGAAAACACCCCTTGATGCTCCAACCACCAAACCACCCTTTACAAAACACAAATTTGTTCACCTCGAGTTGCTGATACATGTATCTAGCTAGCAGAGCACTGCCACAAGGGGGTTAGAGTAGGGAAGTTATCTAGCTAGCATATATATTCACCATGATGATGTCGCCACTGCAATCTCCTGCTGCAGCTCGGGCCAGAGCACAGCGCCAACCACGAACGCCCAACAACAAGCGAATGCCTAGTAGCCTCATGGACTTGAAGCGCGAGTCGAACAGCCGCAAGTACGATATTGGTGCTCTCGCCACTCCTGCTCGACGAGCGCCACTGGCCCGATCCAACACCATTGATGCAGTGCCGTCCTTCTGTACGCCACAACGAAACGCTACAGACACCAGGAGGCGGAACTCCACTACCTCTGGGGTTCCCCTGGTCATGCCTGGCAATCTCGATGACTCTTCTGCTTCCAACGTACAACAAGAACCCGAGAGCCCCATGAGGCGAACCTATTCGGCGGACAGTCTGGTCACTCCTTCTCGAAAGAATAGGACACTCTTTCGATCCAACAGCAGCACCGACTCAGCAGTACTGCCATCGTTCTGCACTCCCAGTCGCCAGCGAAACTTCACGGATGATGGCACTACTAGAAATAGAAACAAGTCCAAAGCTGCCTCTATGGTCATGCCCGCCAATCTGGATGATGACGACGATGATGATTCTTCCCATGGACGCGACGAGGAGGAGGATCGTCGCTTATGGACAGCCCTCGCTCCTGCTACTCCAAGACGGCGTCCCAGCGTCTCTGCAAAGGGGCAGCCCCAGAGTGCCCGTGTAGCCCGGCGTGGTTCTACGTCTATGCATGGTGCGTCTATGCATGGTACTACCAGCAATCACGAGGGACGACGAAGGCAGCACACTGAAAAACCGAGCCCCAGACGGCCTTCTCTACTAGTAGCACAGAGCAATCATGAAAGGCGACGGAGGCAAGACTCTGCTGTAGCGGACAAAGTGAGCCGACCTTCTCTAGCAGATAGGCGTGCCGTGAGCCATCGTCAGTCCACCGCGGGCAAGGGGGTACCGGAGGACATGG